GGTTCCTCACTACAATGGAGAAATGTAATTCACCAATAAAATGAGTGGTATTCTCTGGTTCTTTACATTTTTTTCCTGTCTCTTCCAATTTTTCTACAATGATCACATAGTATTTTTAGGATTAGGAAAAAAGGTTTTCAGTTGTTATTTTTATTTTTGTTTCCCGCTGAAAAACAAACGGTGATCTGGGGCAGGGGACCATGGTACCTTCACAAAGGCTGATCTAAGAATGTGCTGTGGAGAAAGATTCACAGCTGCTGGGACTTGATCTCAACCAAGGGTGCTGAGTCCCAAAGCTGGGAATGTGGACAACTGGCCAACAAGAAATATGTCAGTGACTATATATGCCTCATTCCAGAAAAGACTTGCATGGTTATCATAGCATTTATGTGTTGTTGTAGTTCTCAGACTAAAGAATAGTGCCCAGCACATACTAGATGCTTGGTAAATATTTGCCAAATAAATGACTGTAGTGTTAAGAGGGGACAGCAATTATTATACCTCAGATCAGGGGAAATCAGAGTCACTTCCTGCCTGAGAAGCCAGAAGAGAGTTTTGTTCTCTGAAACTAAAATCTCTGACTATTATGTAGGAATCACAATAAAGCTGAAACACTGATGCCCATGACTTAATCATAGGTAACTCTGAACAGTTTTAAGTTCTCATTGTGCTTTTTCTTATCATAAAAGTATTATAGAAGAATAGAAAATGCAGATAAGGAAAGAGAAAAAAATTTTAAACCATTGTTATGACAGATACATACTATTTCAAATGACCTATGTGTACATATAATTCCTATATGTATTTTCTTTTACAAAAGTTGAAATAGTACCTTTTTGTAATTTTTTGCTATGTCACCAAATATTTCTCTGCCACATTACTTTTAAAGACAGTATAGTTCGACACCAGATGGATATACACTAATTTATTCACCCACATCCCCATTGCACGTTAAGGAGGTACCATATTTTTTTCTGTTAGAAATAATGCTGCAATGAATGTGTGCTACCCCATCATAACTGAATACTTAATAGATTAAAATGGCATCTCAACTATCGAGAATTTGCCCTAAGTTACTTTTCCTG